GAGGGTCAGCCCCGGGTCACCTCACCCCCTTCCTGACTGGTGCCACCGGTCAACTCACTCCCTCCTGACTGGTAGCCACCAGGTACTGCCCCCTGACTGGTCACCCACCAGGTCAATGCACTCCCTCCTGTGGTCAGCCACCGGGTCCTGCCCCCCTTGAGGGGTCACCCACCAGGTCAATGCACTCCCTCCGGGAATGGTCAGCCACCCCAGGTCAACCTCACTCTTCCCTTTGAGGTCAGCCACCGGGTTTAGCTGCACTCCCCTCCTGACTGGTCACCACCGGCCCACGCATCCTCCTGACGGTCAGCCACCAGGTCACGCCTCCCCTGACTGTCAGCCACCGGGGTCAGCTGCACCCTTTTGACGGTCGCCCCAGGTCAACCTCACTCCCTCCTGACTGGCAGCCACAGGTCACTGCACTCCTCCTGCTGTCCCCCCGGGTTTACTGCACTCCCTCTGATGGTCACCCACCAGGCAGCTGCCTCCCCCTGTGGTCAGACCAGGTCAGGCACTCCCTCCTGACTGGTCACCACCAGGTAGCTGCCCCCTCCTGACTGGTCACCCACCAGGTAAAGCTGCCCCCCTCCTGATGGTCAGCCCCCCCGGGTTTAGCTCCTCCCCCTGACTGGTCAGCCCCGGTCAGCTGCATCCCTCCTGATGTCGCCCCCAGTCACTCCTCCCCTCCTGACTGGCGACCAGGTCAGTGCACCCCCTCCTGATGGTCAGCAAAAGGTTAGTGCCCCCCTAAATGGTCAGCCCCAGGTCAGCTGCACTCCCTCCTGACTGGCCGGCCACAGGTCACTGCACTCCCCTCGACTGGTCAGCCCCGGGTTTTAGCTGCACCCCCCCTGATGGTAGCCACCAGGTACTGCACTCCCCCCTGACGGGTTTCAGCCACCAGTAGCTGCATTTCCCCCCTGACGGGTTTAGCCCCCGGGTCAGCTGCACTCCCTTTTGATGGTCAGCCACCGGGTCAGCTGATTCCCTCCTGATGGTGCCCCCAAAGTAAACCTCATCCCTCCTGACTAGTCAGCCCCAGGTAGCTCCCTTTTCCCTCCTGACTGGTCAGCCACCAGGTCAGCTGCATCCCTTGGGCTGGTCACCCAACCCAGGTCAGCTGCACTCCCCCCTAGGGTCAGCCCCAGGTAATCCTCCCCCCTACTGGTCGCCACCAGAAACTGCACTCCCCCTGACTGGCAGACGGGTAAAGCTGCATTTCCCCCAATGGAACTGTTCCCCCTGCTTACCCCGGGTCAGCGCACTCCCTCCGACTGGTACCCACCGGGTCAGTGATCCCCTCCACGGTCAGCCACCGGTCACTCACTCCCTCTGACGGTCGCCCCAGGTCAGCTGCCCCCCCCTTTGATGGCAGCCCCAGGTCACGCACCCTTGGGATGGTCAGCCCCCGGGTCAGCTCCCCACTCCCTCCTGAGCAGCCACCAGGTCAACCTCACTCCCTCCTGAGGGGTCAGCCACCACGTAAACTGCACCCCCCTCTGAGGGTTTCAGCCAAGGTCAGCTGCACTCCCTCCTGACGGTCAGCCCCCGGGTAAACTGCACCCCTCCTGAGGGTCGCCACCGGTCACTGCACCCCCCTCCTAAATGGTCAGCCACCGGCGCTGCACTCCCCCCTGACTGGTCACCCACAGGTCAGCTGCATCCCCCTGAGGGTCAGCCCCCAGTCAGTGCCCTCCCTCCGGCTGGTCACCCAAACCAGGTCAACTCCCACCCTCCTGATGGTAGCCACAGGTCAGCTGCACTCCCCCCGATGGTCAGCCACCGGGTTTACTCACTCCCCTGATGGTCAGCCCCGGTCACTGCATCCCCCTACTGGTCACCCACCGGGTTTCCCTGCATCCCCCCTGCTGGTCAGCCCCCGGTCAGCTGCACCCCCTCCTACGGTCAGCCACCGGGTTCACTGCACCCCCCTGACTGGCCAGCCACCGGTCAGCTGCATCCCCCCGGGGCGGGTCAGCCACCGTAAACTGAAATCCCTCCTGAGGTCAGCCCCCGGGGTCGCTGCACTCCCTCGGGCGGTCACCCACCGGGTTTTCTGCACCCCCTCCTACGGTCCCCACCAGTCAGCTGCACTCCCTCCTGCTGGTCCCCAAACCGGTCAGCTGATCCTCCTGATGGTCGCCACCAGGTAGCTGCACTCCCTCCGATTGGTCAGCCACCAGGTCGCTGCACTCCCCTGATGGTCGCCACCGGGTAGCTGCACTCCCCCCTGCTGGTCGCCCCCAGGCCGCTGCATCCCCCCTGACTGGTCACCACCGGGTTTAGCGCACTCCCTTGACTGGGTGCGAAGGTAAACAGTCCCTGATTTTTTGTTATTTCTTTTGGTTTTATGCCTTTAGTTGTTGTCTTTCATTTTGTCAGTATTCGAAATTTTATTGGGATATTGTCATTAGCCTCCCAGCATATAAAGACAAAATAAAGTATTCGGGTGTGTATGGATTAACTACCGCAGTGAAAAATTTTTTGGGAAAAAACATGGGAAATCGGGGGGTGTACTGGACATATCAGTTTTTTTTATGGGTGGGTGTTCTATGGATATTATAGAAACCAATGTATACAAGTCCATTCTAATATAGCTAGTAGGGGGCTACGTCAGTGTCATGTATAATGCCACGGAGGCCTAGAAAGTTTTGGCATTCCGACCCAAAATTGGTTGGTGTCCCTTTTATGCTTTACGGATATTTTGACGGGAAAAAAAAAATTAGCATTTGAAACAACAAAATGATTTTATTTTACTTCTATTTTCTCATTTGGTTTCCGTACAATTTTCTCTTTAAAAAGTTAAAAAATTCGAATGGAAATTTGATAAAATCGAAGTTCTAAATCAAATTGTTTTTCTTTTTTTTTTTGTAAAATATCCCCTTTAATTTTATTATTTTTTAATTTGTTTTAGAAATAAAATGTTTCTTATTTCTCCGAAAATTTTGGAAATATAATCCCCCTTTTAATTTTTAAAAACAATTGTTTTGTTTTGAATATTAATTGAATTTCATGCTTTCGTTGTAAAAATAATCATTATGTCATGATTATGTCAATAATTCATTCTTTCATGATTTATGGTAGGATTTGGAGGAGCTTGGAATTGTTAAGGAGGAATGCGATGTGGGACATCGAGAAAAAACTGTTCCAATCCCTATTTTAGGAGTTAGTCTTTATACTGGTGGTTCACATATCCACCATATCCAGTAACCTCATTGCGTCCGTAGGCGTCATGCAGCGCTTGGGAAATGGAGGTTGGTTCAATCCAACGAAGTGATTAAACCTCACAAAGGTTCAGTTCCTAAAGGTGGCAGTAGAGCAATTGAAAAGAATATACAGACCGATAGCACTAACGTTCCACATCATAAAACTCTTTAAAAGGGTTCTAAAAAACAATGTCGCCAATCACCTGGACACCCAACAATACACAACCCAGGGCAGCATAGTTTAGAGCAGGTCGGCCTGCCTCTCACAACTACTGGACTATTACGACATGGTCTTGGATGCACTGGAGGACAAACAAAATGCAGATGTAGTATACACAGACTTTACGAAAGCCTTCGATAAGTGCGATCATGCTGTAATAACACATAGAATGAGTGATAAATGAATAACAGGAAAAGTAGGTAGATGGATCTATTATTTCCCAACAAAATAGAACACAAAAGAGTAATAGTAAACAGAGTCAAAGTCAGAGGCGGCTACGGTGAAACCTGTTTCACAAGGTACAGTACTCGCTCCCATCCTTTTTCTCATATCTGACATAGACAGAGATGTATGTCACCGCGCTGTGTCCTCCTGTGCTGACGATACTAGAATTTACATGAGTATCATCCATTGAGGACACTGTAAATCTCCAAGCGGACATTAGCCAAGTCTTTAAATGGGGCCTCAGAAAACAAAATGAAGTTCACTGAGGACAAATTTCAACTATGCTATGGAAAACTCGAGGAAATAAAAACTGGATTTGGAGTATAAAGCAAAGTCCAACCTCACAATAGACCGAAAAAATCAAATGTGAAGGACCTGGTAGTGACATCAGAGAATCAATTTCAAAGATCACAATAATGTCTTTATCATATATACTAGGAAAGTGATAGGACGACAAGTGTTCTGTACACTAATGACCCCATTCAAGGCAGGCGAAATTACAGACTTGGAGAATATAGAGAGAACTTTCACAGCACGTATAAGTACAATAAGCACCTAAATTTCTGGGAACGGTTGAAGTCCCTGCACCTGTACTCTTTGGAACGGAGGCGAGTAAGATACATAATAATATACGCTTGGAAAATCCTAGAGGGAATAGTCCCAAATTTGCACGTGGAAATCACTCCCTACGAAAACAAAAGCCTCGGCAGGTGGTGCAACATCTCCCCAGTGAAAAGCGGGGGTGCCATGAGTACACTAAGAGACAACAGTGTCAGGGGCCGAACACTGTTCAACTGCCTCCTAAAATACCTAAGGAAGATTACCAGTAGACCCCTGGCTGTCTTAAGGAGCTGGACAGGCTCCTAAAGTCAGTACCTGACCAGCCAGGCTGTGGCTCGTACGTCGATTTGCGTGCGGCCAGCAGTAACAGCCTGGTTGATCAGTCCTTGATCCACCGCGAGGCCTGGTCATGGACCGGGCCGCGGGGGTGTTGACCCCTGGAACACCCTCCAGGTATGCGCTCCAGTTAGCCGCTAGCAGGTCACCATAGGACTTAAGATCTGTGTCAGGAGACATTTGTCCTGTTTCCTGCCGAATAAAACTCTACCAATCAGGCTACAAAACGTAAAAAAAATTCACCTGAACTTGTTCTTTTAAAAACGATACTGTGAAGTCTCCAACTTGCTGAATAATTCTCACTGGTATAACTGTACTCTGTAACCTTTTCTTTATTATAATAAAAAATCATTGGTATAATAAGATTAATAATGATGTAACAGTGTTCGAATTTATTAATCTTAATATAAGACATGTAATTTACGAACCCCGTTTTATCGTAATAGCTATAAAAAATTATAAATGTTCCTCGAAGACTAAGGTTTGTAGCAAAAATCGCTGATTACCATATATTTGTCAAGCAATATGAAGCCAATGTGACCGAGATCTTAACACTTTCAGTGGATATATGGCGGAGTCTGTCTGCTGGGGCTCCTGATACACTCTAGCGTAGCATATAATCTTTAATTTCAAAGATCAATCTTTTCACCCTTTAGGTCATGACTATCTTCTGCGGTTCTGCCCAGACGTGAGCTGACCTCGGGGATCGTGGAATGGTTGTGTCTGCTGTAAGGGATGTCAAATTCTTCACCTACTCTCCTTGGATTGGAACTGAAGGTGAGTCTGCTGGAGTTCGATGAGGAAACTTGGACCCAAGAACTAGGCATATAATGACTACTCTCGGAGTATATAGTCCGAGAATTTATTTTTATCCCTGTTTTAAAGACTGAAATATTCTTGACTAGTGTACAGGTGAAACATTCGTAATGACCATCCTTCATTCGACAGTAAGGAAATATTTCTTGTCTCAGGGTGGTTGAAAAGTGGAATGACTTTGATGAAGCAGTGGTAGAGGCAAACTCAGTACACAGTTTCAGGAGTACAGATAATAAGGCCCAAGAGGCCAAAAATCAGGGATGTCGATGAAAGTGGTCTATGTGAGGCGGGTCCAGGAGTATTCTCGACTCCCGCAAACAAATCGGCAAGTACTGGTATGCTGCTAGCTCCTAGGCTCCACCACCGGTGATGATGCTGGAGGCCCTGCCAATAGTGGTGGCGCTAGCTCCTGAGCCCGGCCAGTGGTGCCGTTACTAGCTCCTGGGCCCGGCTACCGCTCGTAGGAAAGGGTTTATCAGCAGATCTGCAGCACTGGGTCGTCTCGAGGGGTCCCGACTTAGCATAGATATTACAGCCTCATTGAACCCCTTACTATACTCTCCTTCGACGTGCACCTGCAAAATTATGATTAGTATAATAATAATAATAATAATAATAATAATAATAATAATAATAATAATTATGGAAAATTACATTTCCCTGGATGAATCTCATTACATACATACAAATAAATGGTAACAAAGATAATTATTATTTATCAAAGTTGCAGAGACAAGTAGGAATTTTTAGGACATCTAGGTCGCAAAATGTCCCCATTTGATACCTACCATCTATCTCTCCACAAGTTGCTCTAGATCTATATTAATTGCAAATGAAGTGTACATACACAACAGGAATTCTGGTAAAATTATTATAATTTTTGTGACTGTATATTAAACTTAATTAAATGATTACATATACACATTTATATAACAGAAGGAGAATTTATAATCATAACACTCACCAATTTGTCTGGAAATTACTGTGTATAATATTGAAAAACCTCCCTCTAACTAAATTTATGATGATAATACGGGCCAAATTACAAACATAATTTAGATAGCTTATCTGAGGTTCCTGGAGCTGTCCTGTACATCGATTTAATGCTCAAATTATGCAGAATGCACATCCAACAATTTCCACTCCTATTTGAGAGGTGTAAGCCCAATGTAACCTCTAGAACGATGAAAATTCTTCTTATTTTCACTAACGCTTTCTTGGCTCATTCAAAAAACATGGTGACTCTCCCTTCTCGTCCGCGCAGGCCCCGAGCTTCCCATTTTTTATAATATAATTTTTATTAAATACAATATAGGCCATCAATTTACATATAAAATACTGTATTTCCAGAAAATACATACAGTATTTTCCACATTGCGGCCGGGCGGAATTCGTTGCTAAACGACTCAAATTGCTCATTTGACAATGGTGGAGGACCTGGGTACATATAGGATCTGGCATCCACACGGCGACATATTACACAAGATTTAATCACCCTTTTTACACTTTGCCATCCTTGTGGAATCCAGAAAGTTTCCCTAATACAATTTAAGGTATCTTGTACCCAACCATGCATTACATTTTTATGGGCATTTAGAACAATTAAATTTGTTAGATGATGAATTTTGGGCAGTAAGATAAGGTGTTTAGCATAATCACCCAATTCAGCATTTTGTAACCTACCTCTGCACCTAATTACATTGTTCTCTAAATACAGCCCCAATTTCTCTATTATGGAACCTTTCACAATTTTTCTTTCCATCATCAATTTAATCTCATTTCCATAGATTTCTTCCTGTACCCTCTTTATCCAGTATTCAAGAGGATGTGAAAACTTATATGAGATATTCATCTTGTTTAGAAATTTAAACACGAACTTAGTTACATTGATTAGTTTGGGTAAAGAAGAATACCTATTTATATCAATGGCTAAGGGAGGACAAACTATTGGAGTGGTGGTCACAGTAATTTCAACAGGAGCAATATACACTTTTTGTACAGGCCAATTAGCTTTATTTACCAACCAACTCGGTCCTTTAAACCATAATACAGCATTTACAAATTTAGCATAAGGTAAACATCGAGACAAGAAATCAGCTGGATTCTCCTCACCAGGTATATGATTAAATGTTAACATATGCTGACCCAAACTATTATACTTCTCTTGCATCTGATTAATTTCAGCGACTCTGTTTTGTACGTACACAATTTTACTGTTTCCATTACGAATCCATTGTAAGGATACCTCATTATCAGACCAAATTGCAGTGTCGCTAATATTTATCTCATGCAACTTATTTCTTATATAACTAGCTAATTTGACACCTACATAAATGGCTGTTAATTCTAACTGAGGCAAGGTACGTGATTTAATTGGAGACACTTTAGCCTTAGACATAACAAGAGAAATAACACTATTACATTGAAGGTAAGCAACTGCTCCATATGCCAATTTTGAAGCATCACAAAAAATGTGTACATTTTTCCCATTTGGATTGGCCACCTGGCGTGGGAACTCCAACATTGGAATTTTCTCATAATCACCAATTAATTCATCCCACCTGTTAATGAATTCCTCAGGTAGAATTTCATCCCAAGCACATTTAAGTTTCCATGCTTCCTGAATTAATAATTTCTCTCTTATAGTAAGGGATGACACTAAACCTAGTGGATCAAAACATATGGAAACTTCAGCAAGCAAAACTCTCTTAGTTAATTTATTGGGCGTACTGTAATTATTAGGTTTTAACATTAACAAATCTCTCTCAGTATCCCAAGTCAAACCCAATACATTACAACATTTTGGCACTTCGTCTCCCGTGTAATCTTTATTTATTTTGTCCTTTAATTTGGATGAATTACTATTCCATTCCCTCAGAGGCATATTTGCACTTTGCATTATTTTATTAGCCTCTCCATAAGTCATTAACAGTTCCTCTTCAGTTGACGTCACACCCAGGAAATTGTCCACATAAAATTGTTTGCTCATTACTTTACTCAATGGACTTTCCCATACATTTAAGGTGTGCATTTATCGTCGCTTGAAGTAGGAACGGACTGGATGTAGCACCAAATAATACGCTCCTAAAGCGAAAGGTTTTCAGAGGGCTAAGTGGATCAATAGGATTCTCAGGCCATAAGAAGCAGGTACAATCCCGGTCAGCCTCTTGTAAACCCACTCTTAGGAAAGCTTTATTATGTCAGCCGTAAAGGCATAATGCTTCACTCTGAAATTTAATAAGAATATCCTAATTTTTTTCCGTCAACGACGGACCTGTCATCAAACAGTCATTTAAACTAGGTACATTTTTGTTACTCCTGGCACTACAATTAAACACAATCCTCAAAGGAGTGGTCTTAGAATCCTTCTTCACTCCGTGATGTGGCAAATAGTGACCATAAATTTTGGCTTGCTCAGGAGGTACCTCTTCTATAAATTTATTAATTAATTGCTCAGCAATTATATCATTATAGGCAGTTAACAATTCTGGTGTCTTACTCAGTTCGCGGAGCTGAGCCTTTAACTGTCCATATGCCATTCTGTAATTAGTGGGCAATTCTGGATGGTTCAGTCTCCACGGAAGTCGCACCCAGCACTGTCCAGATTCAAATTTTACATCAGATATTGATCCTGAGCAAAAGAATCATCTGGACTTTCTTCATTTACATTTATTCCAATGCTGTCTAATTCCCACAATTTATGCACTGGCTCAACACCATCCTCTATGGAAGAATTATACTGGGCCACGATTTCATGAGTAAGACACACAGTTATGGTATTTGTAGTTTCCTCTAGTCATGAATTATTATTACGAGGAATCCTACCATACATTACATGGCCTCCAGCAGTCTTTAAAAGGGTGACACCACATTTCTTTACCATACCCTTTACAAAGGAGGCATAATAGTCACTACCTATTAAAATATTTATTGGGCCTACAGAATCATCACTTACACCAGAAGGTGCTAAATTTACATTATGTGAAAGTCTTTCTGTAGCTTTACTAAGCCCTACTGTAGATATTTTCTCTGGAAGTCTATCTACAATTACTGCATTAACACGTTTTTTCTCATTGCCCAACCTGACAGTTACATAAACATTGTCATACAATTGACCCCTTTTATCCGAGAGAAAACCAGATAATTTTAAAGTTGTGGGATCTCCCATCTGTACTTTCACACCATCAAGACATTTACGTTTTATGAAAGTACGCTGGGATCCCTAGTCCAATAATGCATTTACATTTTTTTATTTATGCCTTTTATCATCAATTTTTACCTGTAACACAGGTAAGGCTACTTCAGCAAAACCATCATTATTAACATTAGCAGCAATTTTTACATTAGCCACTGTTATGTCAGGATTGTCAACATTATCATTATTATCAACATTATCATATAGACCCTTACACATGACTATATGGTGTCTTCCTTTGTACATTGATAACAGAAGTTTAATTTGGCATAACAATCCTTTACATTGTGATTACCCAAACACCTGATACATCTGTCAAGTTCCTCCAATCTTTCAACTTTATCATTCCATGAATTGTATGCATTGCAATTCTTAGAAAAATGAGTACCCTTGCAGAAGAGACAATCTCTCTTTTCTTTGACTGGTTTCTTATTAACTGGGCTACTCTTAGGAGGTACTTATTCTCCTTACTTTGTGGAAATCATTATTTCTGATTCCTGCTACTTGATATGCACCTATCCAACTCTTTTTAGGAAATGAAATTTGATTATTACCATTGGGATAATTTTTCCCTTTGTGAAACTTGACAGATACCTCAGAGTTATTATGTGTTGCATCTTTAAAATGAGTTAGTTGGCTGGTCTGCAACTGCACAATTAATTCTTGTAGACCTAGTCTTATTTCCTCCAGACCAAAATAACCCTTGTGATATTTGTTTGAGAGCCATTCAAGTGTTTCATAGTTTAATTTATTCTGTACCATGGCACTCAATAACCAGTCTGATTCATTGAGATTAATTTATTAAAGTTTTGAGAGTGCTCTCCAGTTTAACTCTAAACTGCTGTAAACCTTTGTAAGTGTGATCTGGAGATTTTAAATTAACAATGATATTCACTAGATCCAACCTACTTTGTTCTATATTACCATAAGTGACCTTCAACAAGTCAACTGCTTCCTTGTAAGAGTCATCTACATTGGGAAAACTTGTATGAGTATGTGAGCATCTCCTCTTACCTGTCCTTTGAGGTAAAATAATTTAGTTACACAGGCTAGGTCACTCCTGTCATGCACAGCTGCTTTAAAAATTGACCAAAACTCTTCCCAATTTTCACCAGGATTAAATACAGGTAAACATAGTTCTGGGAGTTTTGGCAAAGACATCTTATTTGTTGGAGCAGACTGATTAACTGCCTGGTTTACACATTTTAATTTATTCAAGGCCTGACTTTTACAAGAAAGAATCTTTTCTTCTAATTCATAATACTGATTAATCATAAGATCTACTTCAGTCTCATCTACACAGTTTACTAACAAATCTCCTTCATATTTGTTGTAATATAATTTGTATGAATCATATTTATTACCTAAAGCATCTAAATACAATTTTAAATCATCAGTATTCAGAGTTTTTTTGATTCATTAATTCCAAACATTTATTATATGCCTTGGTTACATGACCCTTTCTAGCTTGTAGTGATGCTTTCTTTACTCTATATTCCATATGTTTGTCTTCTACATTAATTTCCTCATTTTCAGCCATGATGCAATGTATTAAATTCAACTTAATAACACTGATTATGTACTAAATTATGCACTTTATGAAGGTAACTAGTACAACCCTTACCTTTTAATAAATCCTAGCTACTGAGCTTAGCAATTACATGTAAGAAAATTATATAAATTTTAAATGTACATTAATATATTTTAAATGTACATTAATATAAAATTAATATTATACAAATTAATAAATCCTTGCCAGAATTTGGCATAGCAAATTAATATTATACACATTAATGTTAGTTACACTTGGCTTATCAATTACACATACACTGATATAAATCTTGGCCAGAATTATCTTATCAAATTAATATTATACAAATACATTAATATAAATCCTAGCCACTTTGGCTTTGCAAAATTAATATTATACACATTAATATAATCTTTAGCCACCCTTGAGCTTAGCTTATCAAAATTAATATTGTAATAATTATAATCCACTACACATTAAGTAAATTTGTGAACTTAACATCCACCTCCTTCTGTCATTTCACATATATTTATTAAGTAATTAACTAATTAATGACTTCACTAATTACCTCCGGTTCAAGAAGGACCAACGGGCAAATTAAATGTGGAAAATTGCATTTATCTGTATGTAACTCATTATGTACATAACAATAAATGAACATAGATAATTATTATTTATCAGTTAGACAAGTAGGAATTTGGGACACCTAGGTCGCAAAAATGTCCCCCTTCCGATACCTACCACTGTCCCTATCCACAAGTTTCTCTGGACCTATTAATCATAAATGATTTGTATCACCAGGAATGCTGGTAAATATATAAATTTGTGGACTGTATATTAAAAATAATAAATTATTATAGATACACATATACACACATTTATACAACAGAAGGAGAATATATCTTAATCATAACACTCACCAATTTGACTGGAAATCAAGGTGTATCATACTCAGAAAACCTCTGTCTATACATGAAAATAACAACTGGCCAGAGTTATAACATAACAGACTTATCTGAGGTTCCTGGAGCTGTCTTGTCCAGTCGCCTGATATCTCAAGTTATGCAGGAATGCACATCCAACAATTTTATCTCCTATTTGAGAGGTGTCAGCCCAATTTTAACCTCTAGAGCACGAAAATTCCTTCCTATTACACTAACGTTGTATCTAATTCAAATTAACAATGGCGACTGTCCTGCGCAGATGCAGGTTTTCCGTTTTCTATGACATAAATATTATTAAATACAGTATGGCCATCTATTTACATATAACTACTGTATTTCTGGAAAATATATACAGTATTTTCCACATCTGGTAAAATTATTATAATTTTTGTGGACTGTATATTAAAATTAATAAATGATTACATATACACATTTATATAACAGAAGGAGAATTTATAATCATAACACTCACCAATTTGTCTGGAGATTACTGTGTATAATACTCAAAAATCTCTCTCTAACTAAATTTATGATGATAATATTGGCCAGAATTACAAACATAATTTAGATAGCTTATCTGAGGTTCCTGGAGCTGTCCTGTACATCGATTTAATGCTCAAATTATGCAGAAATGCACATCCAACAATTTCGGCTCCTATTTGAGGTGTAAGCCCAATGTAACCTCTAGAGCGACGAAAATTCTTCTTATTTTCACTAACGTTTTCTTGGCTCATTCAAAAAACATGGCGACTCTCCCTGCTCATCCGCGCAGGCCCCGAGCTTCCCATTTTTTATAATATAATTTTCATTAAATACAATATAGGCCATCAATTTACATATAAAATACTGTATTTCTGGAAAATACATACAGTATTTTCCACAGTAATAATATAATACAAGAATATTGCTGCACTCTAACATAAAACCTTCCCTGCCCACGTAATTCAGTCAAGCACCTAAATTATTGGAAACGCCTGAAAGTCCCTTGAACTGCATCCCATAAAACGTAAGCGAGGAGGGTACATAATAATTTGCCTGGAAAATTCTGAGAGGATTGGTTCTAAATCTGCAAGAGTAAGAGGCCTTAGGTGCAAAATACCTCCAATGAAAATCAGGAGCGAGTTCACTGTGGGATAACTCAGTGTAGAAAAACCAAGATTTTTCAGCACTCTCCCTTCATGCATAAGGGAAATTACCAACAGACCCCTGGCTGTCTTAAGAGAGAGAACTTGATAAATGCCTCAAGTTAGTGCCTGTTCAGCCAGTCAGTGGTGCATACGTTGGATGGGTACAACAAACCAACAGCCTATTTGATCATGCCATCCATCAGCAGACCTGGTCTGGGACAGCGAGGAAGTGGCCTCCGATTCGTCTTCAGGCAACTTTTAGGTAACCTTTAGACGGTATCTTCAAGTATCCTAACCTACAATATCAAATAATAGATTAGGCAGAAATCAACGAACTGTAATTCGAGGGAAATTGAATCTAATTTGAGAACGTCTGGATCAGCTATTATATATATGGAAGCTCTAAACCCATAGAAGTTATACAGCGCCTAGGACATAGGAGACACTCAGATTTGATGCAGAGAATGAGGATATCTGAGCCACTGACCTGTTCATAAGGGTAGCCTCGCTGTAATGTAGCCAGCTCGTAGAGACAGCAGCCTAATGACCACATATCAGCTTTACCGTCGTATGGTAGACCATTAGCCACCTCGGGACTCTGCCACGGAGAAGTAACATAAGCTTTATTCAAGAAATCTAAAAATTTCACAGTATAAATTTGTACAGTGTTTCTGAGGGCACATCTTGGAGACATAGGTAAAAAATTATGTAGACAAGATCCATGTGCACAAGCTGTCGTAGCCCCCAAACTCAACAGCAACAAATGTAATTTAATCTCTGTTAACCCAACAAAGGTAGTGTAACTTATTTCCACTAAGGTTTTAATTGTTTGTCTCTTATTTGGTGCTTATATTCAGGCTGTAGTGGTACTAAAATGTACACATTTGTAGCTGCTGGTGCTTGGTATTACTCAAGGTGTCGTGTAGCTCGGTTGGTAGCGCACTCAGCTCATACATTGAGTGGTGCCATGGTTTGATCTCGATACGGGTGGAAAACATTGTGCATCTCTATCTCTCTCTCTCTCTCTCTCGCTCTCTCTCTATACATATACATACATGCTTTTAAATGAAGGAAGGAATAGAAGATAATACATCCTGAATTACGATATTGAACTGTAGTCAGAACCCACTAGTATATGTGTACAATGCTGAACCTTCCATGTCCTGCTAAACCCACCAGGACTAACAAACACACTGCCAGACCTTACTGCTGTTCCTCAAAGTCCCACCAAACACTGCTGGACCCATCATAAACGCTGTTAATTATAGGCCAACCAAACACACTGCTGGACCACCACATTCTTGTTCATGCAACAAACCCACCAAACATACTGACCACTTACACTGCTCTTCGTCATAGTTGCACCAAGAACATTGCTAGACCCACCATATACGCTGGGCTGCCGACGATGGTCCTGGGCATGTTGATGTCTCCCTCTGTGACACGAGCCAAGCCAAAGTCGCCCAGCTTGACACTCTTGTTGCCCAGGGTGAGGAAGATGTTGTGAGGTTTCAGGTCCCGGTGTAGGATACCCTTCGTGTGTAGTAACTGTTGGTAGGTGGCAAGTCAGCAGTAAATAGGTGACAAAATAGGCTCAGATAAGTGATAAGTTATGCGACAAATTAGACTTCTAACACTTTAATTTACAGGCTAAGAGACGTTATCTTACTTCATTTCATTTTTTAACATGCCTAAACGGCACCACCTGTCTCAGTGGCACTACCACTGAGCCATAACCCACTTTTTTGTTGCTATGGGAAGCTCGTCTGAGAGAGTAACGTTTCTGTCTCGGATCTTGCAGACGGATGATCGAGTCTCGACCACTCACCCACACGAATCACCCCCATAGGTTAACTTGGGTTTTCTTTCTCTCCCTAACCAGAGGAAGAACTGCTTAAGATATAGTAATTTGGACATGTAACTTGTCGAAAAAAATTTCCCCAAATTATGTTGTGTAAATAAACCTGTTAAAAAAGGTATTTTAAAATGGACCCGGACAGGGAGGCTCTGGCCTGCGGGCGAGCGGGGGGGGGGGGGGAAAGACCCCATTGTTTTTGTAATGTGTACAAGCCGTTAGTGTAATGTGCTTAATTTTCGTCGTCGGGGGTTAAAATTGGTTTTAAAAACCCCCAAATAAGAACCGAAATTGTTGGATGAGTTTCCCTGCAAAAATTGAGCATTAAACAGATTTTCGACGTTCCGGGAAAACCTCAGAAAAAGCTATCTAAATTATTTTTAAATTCTCCCCATTTATCTCTAAATTTGGGAAAGAGGGGGGTTCTGTTTGACACCAGAATCTCCAGAAAATTGGGTGAGTGTTACGATTTAATTTTCCTTCTGTTATATAATGTGTATTGTAATCATTTTTTAAATTTTAAATATAGTCCCAAAAAAATTTTTTTAAATTTTTTTCCAGAATTCCTGGTGATGTAATTTCATTTGCTTAATATGGTTGAGCAACTTTTTTTGGAGACTAGATGGAGGTATAAAGGGGACATTTTTTGCGACCTAGGTGCCCTAAAATTCCCATTTGTCTAGAAACTTGAAAAAAAAATTTTATCTTTGTTACATTTACTGGTATTTTTTTAATGAGATTCATCCAGGTAAAGTTTTTTCCACAAAAATAGTGTGGAAAATTGTTTTATCGAATGTAAAAATTTGACAAAACCCAGTAAATGATAACAAAGAAAATTTTATTTTTCAATGTTAATAGACAAGTGGGAAATTTTGGGGACACCTAGTCGCAAAAATGCCCCCCTTCGATACCTACCACTGTCTAACCACAAGTTGCTCGGGGCCCTATTAATTTAAAATGAAAAATACATCCCCGGGAAAATATGGTAAAATTTTAAATTTGGGACTGTATTTTAAAAAAATATAAATGGTTATTTTATCACTTACTAACAAAAGGAAAAATTTAATTTAATTCACTAAACCAAAATTTGAGGGAAATTTAAATGTGTATCATATCAGAAAAACCTCACTAATTAAATTTAGAAAACATGGCCAGAAATTATACACAAATCTGGAGCTTATCTGAGGTTCCTGGAGCTGTCTTGTCCGTGTCTGTATCTAAAGTTTGCAGGGAATGTATATCCAACAATTTCGCCCCCTATTTGAGAGTGTCATCCAATTTTAACCTCTAGAGCACAAAAAAATTTTTTCCCCTTTATTTTTCGTTGTATAAATTTCAAAACCAAAATGGCGAGTCTCGTCTGCGCAGACGCAGGCTTTTTCGTTTTCTATGACAAAATTTTATTAAATAAGTAGGGCCATCATTAACTTAAAAATCTGAATTTTGGAAAATATATACATTATTTTCCCAAAAAATAGATGTTTTTTTTAAAGGCTATAGAAATAAAAAGGCTATAAAATTAATATCAACTGTTTCCCGAAATGATAATTTAAATGGTACAAAACCCCATGTAATAGATAGTTGAGAGTTGTTACTTGTCCAACTCGGGTTATCTTAATTAGGACGAGTTTCGCCACAAGTACTTTTTTAATTAAAAGGCACGAAACATCTTCGAATTTAACATCACAGGTATTAAGTTGTCCAAAGGTTATCGAAAAACATGCTGAAGATTTTTACGTCATGATATAAAAAAATTTATATTAAAATGTAGTTGTTCCAAATGGCTCTGGGTGAGGGAGAGAGAGAGTTTAATTTTTTCTTTTTCCAGGATAACATAATGAGTGAAGATGAGTCATGGAAACATCAGGATGGGCTTTGGTGGAAAAAAAGGGTTTAAAAAGTGGATTCCATCGCATTTTGGTAGGGGGGCAACGACCTAACGTGAAATTAATATTATGACAAGGGCAACTGAAATTTAAAAAACCAACCCACACCAGTGAGGCACCCAGCAAAGGGTATTTATTTTTATTCAAAAGAAGATTGCCGGCATTAGTAAGAAAAAAAACATTAAATTACAAGCTTTTCTTGGAAAAAAAACTTTTGCCATTTGTAGTTTTATTAAGGCATGTCAGTTTACACGCGAAAAAACTGTCCAACAGAAGCTTATTCTTCAACCTGTCTTTTTCTTTATCAGCAGCACACTGATGGTTCATCCAGATCACCATACAACTGTGTTTTAAAACCCAATTCAGTGGGGGGCAATACTGAGAGCCAAGACACAATCCTCTTTGGGAAAAAAGCCGGCCCCTACTGCTGCACCCTTAGATGAGTTTAGCTAAGTCTCCCCGGGCAGTACTCCAGCACGATGAAGGGTTTGCCTCGAACTTCTCCCCCCCGTAGGAGACTGGATCGTCGAAGCATGGGACGCGGGGGGGGCTCACTGAAGGAGATGGGTGCACAATAAACTAGGCGCTTAAGCGGAAAAATAAAACAAAAATAGGGTGTCAGGGATTTGTTTGTACTGTGTATATAGGGGGCTTGGGATCACATGTCAGATTTTGGGAGACAAATCTTCCTAAGACTTCAGTTATTGTTGTACCGTCCAAAAACCGATAATTATTTGTTTTCCCAACTGGCTGTATTTCTACCACGTACTGTATTACCCCCAAAACTGTGTGATAAATGCTTCGGCATTTTAAAAAAAATAGGTTACAAAAAAGATAATTGAGGGTTGGTTACAGTTACTTGTTAGTATCTGCCAGTAAGGTACTGCAGTGCCCCTTAAAAATTAACGTTTATAATGAGGATATGTGGTCCCCAAATACGTAACGATTTGGGATGGTGGATGGTCTTTCCCCGTAGCTGTAGTTCTTGCTCGGCCACAAACCTCAGGGATCCCCAACGACCCCCTTGATTGGCCGAGCCGGGTATTAAAAAACCCCCGATGTGATGAATAAGGCACTTTTTGGGAACGGAGCAGTAGAAGACGAGGTAATCAAGCCCCTTGCCCCGATTTTTTTCAGGATGCGGTGAATAAAAGATTACCCTTTATGAATCAAGTACAGTGAACCCCCTATTAGGGTGAGGGGATGATTGAATTGACAAAGCCCTTTGGGCTGACGAAACATCTTTAGAAAAAGAAACCCAGGGTTACAATGTGCCTTTTCATCACTGATATAGGACTAGGCAGAATATAACAAATGCTATAGAAAATTTAAAACAGTATGAAAAGAACAAAAATATAAACTAGGTTTGTCTTTTCATTTTATCATGGGGAAAAATTTCATCAATGGGTTATTTGTGCCTGGGAATGGAATTTTTATCCGAGGAAGAAGAGAGCAGCTTCATTTCCTGTATCAGGATACCTTTATCGAAATAACCCTCTTAAAGACTAGGTTACTTTAAGAGTACTAATGAATTGTCTGTGCCTTTTATAACCTACTTAAGGATTTTGGGTATCCTTGGTGTAAAGAATCATTACCGGAAAAAAAAATTCACATGTGTCCTGATGACCTATTAAGTTAATCAGTTTTGAGTGTGAATATATAAAAAAATATATATGATGTGTTTCCCCTTTACTGTTTTAAGCCCTCAAAAGAAGGGTTTCTGAGCCTACCTCCCAATTTCCAAACCCCGGTATGACCCCCATGGGTTTAATGTTCCCTTTTGGGTTTTGGGTTTCAAAACGATTGGTTAATGAGGTTTTAAGGTTATTTATCATCTACCGAGGGTCATAAAGTTGCGTATCCCTGTTCCTACCAGATTACTTTTAAACCCTAACATAAGGATTAAAAATAACCTTAAGACCGGGGGCCCCGGGGGGCGTTGACCCCCGAAACTCTCTCCAGGTAAACAGCGAATACACACACCAAAACACACACCAAACACACACACAACCCCCTTGCGCATGTTAGAATGGCACTCACCTGCAAGTATTCCAGAATTAGAGAAAAATTGCAAAATGTTAAAAGAAGTGTTGACTAGCGAGGACAGCCCATCGAAGGGGGAAAGCCCCAGCGAGGGGGAAGCCTAGTGGGGTGACGTCAGACACTCCTAGAAACTGAGACAAGCTAAATTTTACAACCTAATTATTTTTGTGTTTTTTAAATAGAAGTGATAAGTGCTAGAATCAGTTGGTAGTTTTAGAAATACGGGTATTACTCTGAATTTTTAGCGTATGAATACTTTGAAGTGGGGGCACACATAAACACGAGCAAACCCCCCACACCCAAACACACACACACCACACACACACACACACACACAAAACACACACACACACATGCACCACACATAAACAACAACATGCACCCCCCAAAAAACACACACCACACACACACAAAAACACACACACAACCCAAAACCCACACAAACCACCACACACCCCTATACAGGATTTCCACCCCTTCCCGTGAAGTGATCCTCTAAACCCTTCCTTCCCCCCCCCCGTCCTTCCCCCCCTCTCTTTTCCCCTCTCTTCTCTCTCTCTCTCTTTTCTCTCTCTCTTCTTCTCTCTCTCTCTCTCTCTCTCTCCTCTCTTCCTCTCCCTCTCCTCTTTCCTTCCTTTCTCTCTTCTCTCTCTCTCTTCCTCCCCTCTCTTCCTCTCTCTCCCTTCCCTCCCTTTCCCCTTCTCTCCCCCCCTCTCTCTTCCTCCTTTTCTCTCTCTCCCCCTTTCTCTTCCCTCCCCCTTCCCCTTTACTCCCCCCTCTCTCTCTCACTTTTCCCCCCCTTTTCCCCCCCTTCTACCTCCCTTTTCTCTCTTTTTCCCTCTCTCTTTACTCTTCCCCCTTTTTTCTTTTTCACTTTCCTTTTAAAAAAAAAAATGGTTGGGACTCCCAGGAATCGGGATCAGATGACAATGGTACTGGTAGGGAGGAAGGGGAGGGCGTGGAAAAAGGGTAGAGCAAGAATGGGAGAGAAAATTAGGAGGCTTCTGAAAAAAAAAGGGGAAAAAAAGAGCCTTTTGTGAAATGGGAAAAAAGGTTTGGGGGAGGGGACGAAGAAAATTTGGGGGGCACA